GGCAACACTTGCAGTAACAGGTGCAGCAACACTTGCAGTAACAGATGCAGTAACAGATGCGGCAACACTTGCAGTAACAGATGCGGCAACGCTTGCAGTAACAGGTGTGGCAACCCTTGCAGTAACAGGTGCGGCAACACTTGCAGTAACAGACGCGGCAACACTTGCAGTAACAGGTGCAGCAACACTTGCAGTAACAGATGAGGCAACACTTGCAGTAACAGATGAGGCAACACTTGCAGTAACAGGTGCAGCAACACTTGCAGTAACAGATGCAGTAACAGGTGCGGCAACACGTGCAGTAACAGACGCGGCAACACTTGCAGTAACAGACGCGGCAACACTTGCAGTAACAGGTGCAGCAACATTTGCAGTAACAGATGGGATTAATGCTTCACTCAGCCACAGAACAGTCCCTAACAGTGTGCGGGTGCAAGCACTAGTGGTACCAAAGTAGCATGGGCCATAGTGGCCTTACTGGGAATCTCAGCGGGTCACAAATATATGCAGAGGTATTTCAGGCACTGTAAGCCACTCGACATGCAAGGCATACTTGACCAGGAAAGCATCTACAGGAGGAATGGCTGATTGGCAGCTCACAGACTCAGGTGAGGTTCAGGAGATTTTAGAGAAGGTGGCAATTGCAGCTTTGGCTGCTTGTGGGGTGTCCAGCAGTATCTCCTATGCTTGCCATCCTTGTACTGGAACCTTTCCCTGATGCTAAATCTCTGTCCTCGAAAAAAGGGTTTCTGTCCCTACTCTATCCACTGACAAATGAGCACCAAATTCAGTCAAGGTCCCGTATTCTAAGGACTTCCTCATTCAAGATAGCCATAGAAGGTCACTAGGTACTGCAGGGTCCAATAAGACAGCTACTGTCCCTATGAATACTATGGAGGCTGTGGAGGAACATCATTCTTCTGAGACTCTACTCTACTGAATGGAATGAGAACAACACCTGCCTACATCTATTGTGAGTGTTTTCTTGGTATTGTTTGAGAAATGCTGCTAAATGCCTGTTGATCCTGCCAGTTTCTTCCCCCTCTCTGGGCATTCTAAGAAGAGGTGACAGCCCTAATCGCAGTCTACTAATGCAGTAGGACTGTTGTCACCCCCCTTTGTGCACTCCTGAATTGGGGCTGCAGGACAGTGTATGAACAGAGTGCCTGTAAGGCCCTATAGGCATGCTGTGAGACAACAGACAGCCATGCCATTGGGGCTCTCAGCCCTCACATGTTTTACCTAGTGCTGAGACTGACGGATTTTTATATAATATGCCTGATAAAAGCCTGAACATTTTTAAACTGTGTTCATATATATTTTAATTTGCTAGACCATATAGATAGGTCTGGATTTTTCTTGTTTAACTACTTGCCCTCCAGAGGATTTACCCCCTTTCCTGACCAGGCCATTTTTTGCAATACAGTGCAGTGTTACTTTAACTGACAATTGCGCGATCATGCAATGCTGCACTCAAATTTATGTCCTTTTTTCCCCCACAAATAGAGCTTTCTTTCGATTGCATTTGATCGCCTCTGTGTTTATTTTTTGCACTATAAAAAAAAAGACTGACAATTTTGAGAGAAAAACAATATTTTTGACTTTTTGCTATTAAATATGTCCAGTAAAAAATAAAACAAAATCTAATTTCATCATAAATTTAGGCCAAAATGTATTCTGCTACAGCTAATTGGTTTACTTGAAAGTTATAGCGTCTACAAATGGCGGTATATATACTGGAATTTGTATTTATTTTCTTAAACTAGTAATGGCGGTGATCAGCGACTTCTAGCGGGACTGCAGCGGGCATTCTGACACTGGGGGGGGGGGGCGACTGACTGTCACTGACATCACCAGTGACACCAATACAGTGATCAGTACTAATAAAAAGCACTGACACTGTACTAATGACACTGGGCAGTAAGGGGTTAACATCTGAGGTAATCAAAGGGTTAACTGTGTGCTGTGTTTTATATTATGTGATATGTGCTGTGAGTGGACTTTACTATGTAAACACATTGATTTGTATTGCTCTGCAGAGCACTACAAAGAAATGTGCAGGAGCTGACAAGGGAGAGATATGTATAGTTTACATACAGGCAGGGGCGGACTGACAATTCATGGGGCCCCCGGGCAATAGGGGATCATGGGGCCCCTGTGTCCAAACTCAAAAAAGCTTGTGAAAAAGGTACCAGGGGCATCTCATGGGGCCCCCTACTGACCCCGGGCCCTCGGGCAGTGCCCGACTTTTCAAATGGTCAGTCCATCCCTGCATACAGGTCTCTCCCCTATCAGTTATACATGGAGATCGCTGGGTGCCGGCACGGAATCACTAGCCAGGACCCAGTGATCGACAGGTGAGGCCGTCAATGGCAGTGTGGGAAGGCCCCTATCCGCAAATGCAAAATCACGTATATATACATGATTTTGCACACCGCTGCCACCCTGTAGCAGTATTTCTGCTATAGGGCGGTGGGGAAATGGTTAATAAAAGACAAGAATAGATTTCCAAAATAAATAAATACAATGGGAATTGTGATATAAATATAGTTCTCCTCAGGAAGGCGTAGAATTCAGTTTGGGGATGCATTGCATCCTATTGCCTCTCTATGACAATGGCTCTGCTTTAAACCCTTGGCTGCATTGTGACAGTTCAGGTGGGCAGCTGGGAGGGCAGTAAAAACACAGCTCAGCCTGCTTTTTTTTACTGCCTCCCAGCCACTTGTCTGAAGGAGCCCATGCCACTCATCCTTCCTATTCTCAGAGTGGAAAGCTTTAATACATCAGTTATCAGTAGCCAGACAGCCCTTGGGAAACAGTCAAATTGAAAGAAAGTTTTCTCAGTTCTACTACATCCATGAAATGTGAACGCAGGACACTAGGTAGGACACAGAGAGCCTGGTCTCTTGCTAGAATGGCCTAGAAAACCACAGACCAACCAAAGATAATTACCTGATTCTTGGATAGATAAGTATTTAATGTGCAGATTCATGGAAATATTTATTAATATTACATGTTTGGATGATCGTTCTCAATGGCTCCCGTGTTCTGATAAAGTAACATCTTTAAATTGACAGCAATGGCTGTAGGTGTTTGATCATCAAAGCAAACACATATTCTCATGTGTCTTCATTTCCATGTCATTAGGGTGTACCAGACACTGATGCAATCTGTCGCCTCTTTTTGCTGTCATTCTCACTAGTAACATACTGAATCTCCTTGTTTGAACCGAGTCTAATGCCAAGCATAGATGCAGATCAGTTGATGACAAGAAGAAGGATTTATTATGATAGTATAGATTGGTAACATACAAGGCAATTTCACTAAGAAACATCGGAGTAAATCAATCAAAATTGACCAATGTGATGGAAAATATCTGAAATAGGTTCAACTGGGAAACAAAAGAAGTAGTGCCCAACCAAATTCATAAAGGAGTCAAACGGCTTTAAAGTGATTGTAAACGCTCAATTAAAAAAAAAAAACAACAAACATGTCCAGTTGTGTGCTGAATCCTTCATATTCTTGGTACCTATTATGCTGGCAAGATGAAGCAGACCAGCACTTGACCATTGTGAGCATAAAAACTAAGATCCACCTGGAACAATTTTTGATTTTTATCAACACATTGCCATGGCAAGGAGACTTTGATGACAATACTGAAAAATTTGTCTCAATACACTTTTTGACCATTGGTGAGCATTAGGAATACATGCTAAGTGGTAATTATTATACCCATTTTTACAGCACCTTCCAAGCCAGACAGGTTTTGCTTTAATTACACTCTTTCCAATTTAATTTTTTTAACCATTTTATACTTATTGTGAGAAATGCTGAACTGTGCACCTACTTCAGTGATGATGATGTCCAAAGTTTTGTCACACGGAGCTGGGAAATCAACCATTCATTTCTCATTGGAAGGGTCATAGCAACCTATGTTTTTTTTCTTACTGAGATGAGCTGTTTTTATTTGTCAAGCACTGCCTGAAGGGTTTCTAGAGTTGAAATTGTTGGGGGAAAAATCTGACACAGCTGCTCACTGCTAAAATGTCTTTGTATGCCTTTGTGTGTGTCCCCCCCCCCCTTTATCAAATTAATGTCACTCTTTAGTACCCAATGTGTATGTATGCATGAAGTTGGAAAACTTTCACGGTTAAAATAAATTAAATTTAAGCAGATTTTAATTGGAACCATTCAGATAGATAGGAAGTCAGGGAAAATCTCCCAAACTGGGACAGCAGTAACAAGTTGTGACTGAGTATGCACATCCAGTCCCTACTCAGGGAAAGAGCTTACCATAGGCCATCAATTCTGGGGGAGATGCCTAAAGAGAACCGACATACTGGTAAAGACCTGAATGAGAACATCTACTGTTCTAAAGCCTAGTACACACTATGAGAAAATCGTACGACTGATCGTCAAATTGCCCACAAAACTGCATATCATGATGTAGTCAGCATGGTATTGATTTGAAAGAAAATTCGTAGATACGTACTAGTGTGGTAGAAGTGTAGGGTTGTTCGATGCTTCTGATCGTGCACATTTTTTTTCTATTTGTTTATTTCCCTACGATTACTGTACACATTAAACTGAAAATTGTACGTTGTGTTCATATACAATAAAAAAATTTCTAGCTTGCACCCTTGTTTTTTTGTCATCCAAAAAGTCGGAATCGGCTGTCGAATGCACTATACTAACGATTAGATAATTGGTCCATCATTCCTCATATGGAAATTTTCATACAATTTTCTTATTGTGTGTACGGGCCATAAGATTGCCAACACCCCATGCCTTTCTTCTACCCTCCAGCAATAAAAAAATTTAAAGGATATTTAACCCTTTACCACTCAAAGCGTGATGTGTGTTCTTACTTGAATCTTGGTGAGGTACTGTGAGCAGGGGCGGACTGACCATTTGGAAACGCGGACACTGCCCGAGGGCCCGGGGTCAGTAGGGGGCCCCATGAGATGCCCCTGGTACCTTTTTCATAGGCTTTTTTTGAGTTTGGGCAAGTACACAGGGGCCCCATGATCCCCTATTGCCCGGGGGCCCCATGAGTTGTCAGTCCATCCCTGACTGTGAGGTTGATTTACTAAAACTGTAGAGTGCAAAATCTGATGCAGTTCTGCACAGAAACCAATCGGCTTCCAGTTTTGTTTTTTTTTGCCAAAGCTTAATTGAACAAGCTGAAGTTAGAAGCTGATTGGCTACCATGCAAAGCTGCACCATATTTTACACTCTCTAGTTTTAGTAAATCAGCCCCTTTGTGTATTTCTTCCAGATCTATTCAGTGATCCAGTGTCATCGTTCACTGGTGCTCTCGCCTTGTGCAGAGTGACAGGTCTTGTATCTGCTCCATGCATTTGCTTAGCCACTTGTAGTCTGTACTAGGGGCTCATTGGACAGCGTGTCATTGCAGAAGAACAATTTAGAAAGGACAGATCATTTTTACCCCATAAGGAATGTCTAAGCAAGGATGTTAATGGCAGGGTCACCAATTAGTCTTTTATTGAAATGACAGATTTAAAAAGTCTAAACACAGAACAGCTTATAAGAGATTTTAGTGACTGGGTTTAGATCTGCATTAAATAATTAGCTAGCTGCATCCAACTGCTACCTCAAAGCAATGTTTCTTTTTTTTTTTAGTAACCCCGGAGGCCATTGGATTCCTGTCGGCGGTGGGCGTCTTCGTTGTACTCCTGGCAATTCTCTTCCTCTTCATAAATAAAAAGCTGTGTTTCGAAAATAGCGGTGATCTCCCATGTTTAGACCAACGTGGGAGAAGAAAGCGCCCAAAAGAGAGATCTGGGGTTCTGCAAGGACTCGGTAAGTATGGCTATCACCATAGCTGAAAAATGTTTCGTTTTTTAGTGTCTACCACAATCTCTATAAAATGTAGAAGACATCAAATGTATTGAAGGCAGAGCAGGTGCTTATTTTGACACTTCAACCAAGGAAGCTAAACTGATCTTATGATAATTGTCTATAGCAGGTCTTCTGTATGAACATGTTAGGATAGTACATCTCACTGCTTTCTGATAAATGTAATTTTCTTCTCAGCTATATGTACCTGTTCTGATATTGTCTAATTGTGCTTTTATGTGTCCTGGTACTTTAATATACTATTGTTTGCTGGTATGGTGATTATTTTATGTGTTTTTCTTTTCCTCCTTTTTTTTTTTTTGCTGGAACATACCTTGAGGGTTCTTTCTCAGTTATGAACTCTGTACCGAGTTATGTATTTGACATGTAGTTTCCTTACACATATGCAAATTTATATTTGCAATGCTGGTAATACTCCTGTGACATTTGGTAGCATAGTGTGCGATAGTGTAATGCAAATAAGTCATTTTAATTTATAAAATGTGATTCGATGTATTGCTTCTTCAAAAGGGAAGTATCTTTACTGAATTTAAACAAAAATAAATTTAAATAAATCTATGCAGAAAAATTATAACAATGATTTACCCCACATGTCGATGCATTTAGGAAAAACAAAAATCCATTATATATAACTGAATGATACATGATGCCATAGGTACTTCCTCCTTCTCTGGCAATGGCGGTGGGCATTCTTTCTCCTTGACCGAGCGGTTCTGTGGGGCTGGGCTGAGGTGTAGACAGAAGAGATGGCTGCCATCATGAGGAGGGGGCGCAGAAAGGGTGGGATGTAGTCCGCAGCTCATAAGAGGGGTAGACGTAGGTCTGTTTGCATTGGGTGCTAATAGATCTTGTTCCAGCACTGTTCACTTATTTTGACATGTGAGGTCTATTCTGTTCAGGAATTCTGTGAGCCCAGGCCAGCATGATGACCCCCCCCCACCCTCAGGAAGTGTGTTCATGGCAGCCTGAGCCTACAAGTAGTGGGTTGGAAGTTAGGGGGCATAATTTAACCTGGATGACAACCATGACAGGTTTGCACTACAGTGAGACTGTGAGTGACAGTTTAGGAGAAGAAGAGAGTAGTGTAGGAAAAGCTGCTTTTCATTTTAACAGCTGCAGAGCATTTTCTTTTTGGCTGAACAAGTAAGGTTTAGAACCTCTGTCAGGTTTTTATTGCCCTTGGCATACCTATAGGGAAGATTTAGGGAAGAACACCGCATGGCTACACTGTTACTAAAACGTGACAGATAGTATTTGGAACTTTCCCCTGCCTCCAGCTCAACATCTTTTGATTGAAAAATTGAAGGGCCTGGACAGAAAATTGATGGGCCAACAGCACCTGCATCCAGTTAGATCAGGGTTTCTCAACCAGGGTTTCATGAAACCCTAGAGTTCCTCCAGAAGTTGTTAGGGGTTCCTTGAGCAATGAGAATTTTCTGCCTCTCAGACAAGTTCCAACTGACACCACTGATCTTCTTAGCTATCCGTACGTATGGAATTCTTCCCAATGACCAAAAGTGTAAGAAGCATTCTTCCCACTGACCATCACACTAATTAATCATGAGTTGTAGATATAATAAATTATAGCAGGGGGTCCCTGAGATTGGAAAGTTATTTCAAAGGTTTTCCTGTGTTGAAAAGGTTGAGAAAGGCTGAGTTAGATTAAGCCACTGTTCGGGTATTCTGACTGGCACTGTCAGAATACAGTAGTCTTGGTGGGAGATTCAACAGTACTTGAGTAGGAGTCAAAAAAGACAAGGGGAATACCGCTCAGGCAGCAATCAACATCAAACTAAAACAGGTGCAGACCCTGGCTCGCCACCACGTAACATGCATCAGGAAGAAGGGTTGGCCGGAGGAATGATGAAATACGTGCATATAATTTATGAATCCATAGGACACCAAAAGCACCAGGAAATGTAGATGGATGTTAATGCGTTTCACACGATCGCATGCTTAATAATAATAATAATAATAATAAATAATTGTTATTTTAAAATCTGATTAAACACGTGATCGCGTGAAATGCGTCAACATCCATGTACATGTCCTGGTACTTTTGGTGTCCTATGGATTAATAAATTATACGCACGTATTTCATCATTCCTCCGGAGTGCGGCCAACCCTTCTTCCTGAAACCTGAGTAGGAGTGACAGTGCTGGATTACCAAATGGGCAGAGTAGGCACTGGCATATGGGCACCATGCCGTTTAAGGACCCTGAGACAACAAATCAAAATAATATTGAATTGAAAGAAAATTACAATGAAGCTTTCTTAAATTATTTACAAAAATAGAAAAATAAATCAACTCAAAGAAATGAAAACTTTACACTATAGACTCTACAGAGAAAATACTGTATTCATGTAATGTACCCAAAAACAACTTAAAGTACATAAATCATAGACATCAGGTTCATATTACAATTTATCTCTTAAAAGCTCATTTTATTTCAGTTGTCAGTTTGTAAAAAATATTTGGTGCAACCTATGTACGTGTAATGTACGGTGGTGATAATTATCTCTATCTAATGGTTAACATTGACACTACTTGGTTCATTGTTATCTTACTAGCGCATGCACATAAAAAACCTCCAGAAACCTGTGAGGGGGACCCCAAGGTTTCGACTGCCTAGGGACCTCCACAGAATTTAATCTGGCAAAGCTGAGCACCCAATCAGACAAAAAGGAATGCTGCAGTGGTAAGGCAGTGAGGGATGCTCCAACTGAGCAAGCCTTTTACTACCCATAGAATGGTTCCTAGCAGTCCTTGTCCTTCTCAATGAGAAATGTGTCCATGTATAGATACCATATGTCAATGTGCCAAGCAATTATCTAGCATAGCTACTCTTTTAGAAAACAAATGATGTCAGATAGATGTAGGAGTGTGTGATTAGAGCCCCTGCTCTAATTGAGGAACTTGTTACATGGTTATAATTAACTTAATTATAATTAGAACTCTTTGAAATGATCAGTTAATTATCTGCTGTGTCTTATTTTTTTTTTTTTTTTTTATTTGGAGGAAAAAGCATATGTAATGATCATTTCAAAGGAAACCTCTCCCGGGAAAAATATGGAAATTGTCATTGTTGGCTTGTCATTTTGGAAATGTTTGCTGACAGGCTGTCATTCAGATCTTCTGACTGCAATACCTTGAGTCAGTGGCCTTGAACACATATGTAGATGAGGACTTGTGATCAAAATATGACTTTCCTGATCTGCATATTAATTCTAGGTCAGTGATTTAAATGATTGAATTCAGGGGATCAACATGAGAGCAAGTCAATTAGAATTTCCAAAAGGAACTTTACAATGGCATGCCTTATGTTTCTCATAGTACATGTAGTAATATCCTCACAGGGGCCGCTTGATAAAGCCCATCCCCAGTGGTTTCCCTGACCATGCAAGCCTCCTGACACCTCAGACACTCTAAGCTCAGACACACCCCAACAGAATAGGATAATACTGCAAGAGACAAAATTCTTTGGAAACACCTCTACATTAGTCTTGTGAAAAGGAGTAGACCACAAGATTAATAGGTTTAGGATATACAACACATAAAAATAGAACACTGATAAAATAGAAATAATCATCTAGCAATGTTTAACAAATTATACAGTCATGAGTACCAAGCCTCAACCATTAAACTGCAACACCTGCAGGAAGAGAGGGAAGAAAATGCCCTTTGACCTATCATCTCCCTCTAGGCTACCTCTGCTGCCATGGTGGATGCAGAGAATTATGTAAATGTATTCCCTGACATAAACAAATACAGTATAAGTATACTAATTTGAATATTGGTGGCCATATAGAGAAGAGGTCCCTGTAACTAGAGATTGCAACTTGAGTCCTCTGATGTTTAAAGTTCCAGATTTGGTGGTATCCGTTGTCTTCTGCTAGCAATGGTGGAGCCCATAAACAGTAGTGAATACTGGTAATTCAATGATGTTAAAGAGATGTGCTACTGGTCAAAGCTCAGAGCTGTGATACTGCTCAGAGCAAATATCTCCTGGTACTCAGGTGTAATGTTGTCTGCATGCAGTGTCTCTAGAGTGATGACAGAAAGAGGGTGGGCATCTGCCCATTCACCAATCCTATGGATAGCACAGCCTGTCAGCGCAGCAAGCATAGATGGCGTGTGAAGACTGGACAGTGACAGTCCTGATGCAGAGAAGCTGATGCTATCCCGGTGTGGTG